CCATCACGACGACAAATGGCTAGTCTTTCATTAAGAGCATGAGCGAGAACTAGCGTCAGAGGCATGCATTCTTCAGTTTCGTCAGTGGCATAACCAAACATAAGGCCCTAGAACGTAAACAAGATTGTTGAGTATAAAAACAATAACGAAATTCAAAAAATAGATCATTTTATTAAACCTGATCTCCAGCTCCAAATTCCTCCATAGTCTTCCCCTCATGTACGCATTGGGCGATATCGGGACTCTGCTGTTCAATGGCAGTGAGAACATTACAGGTTTTAAAATCGAATCCCTTGCGAGAATCGTCGTAACCAATACGCTCAATCACCCTTCGAATGACAGTTTGGAAGTCGATTGTACCTCTGGATGAAATCTCGCCACCAATGAGAACCATACCAGTCTTTGTGAAGGTTTCTGTATTATTTTAATTATATTTTATAAGCATTTAATTGTGATTACATACCACAAGCAACTTTTGAATTGGGATCCTGTTTTAGATATTCATCCAAAATTGCGTCGGAGACCTGATCACAAATTTTATCAGGATGACCCTCACCAACAGACTCCGAGGTGAATAAAAATGTTTCAATGGAATCACCACTAACAGCGTTTGGAGAACCCATCATTTTAAACTAGAAGGATCTTAGGACACTTTAATTTGTACCACGCCAGAGCCAAAAGCATGGACGACCAAAAGTTAAAAAGTGGCCTAAGGGTCGACGAAGTTAATAAATTAAAACAATTATTTAAAACAAATAGGCCTTCTGTCTATGGTTCTACACAATAAAATAGTTAATAATATATAATGATATTTCACTAAATTTAATTGGATTTTTATGAAGAAGAAAGTGTTTCTACGCCACAATGGTCAGAGAAATTCCGACCGATTATATATTACTCTGCCAAAAAATAAGTTTATCCTGAGCAATTGCATAAATTAAGAATAGATTACATTATATCATGTTACATAAGTACTGAATTGAACTCAAAATGGTAGAAACTGTCTAATCAAAATCCATTGGAATAGATTGACATCAGTTTGTGGTTCATAATTGTGGCAGACTTAGGATCATTCAGCATGAAATGTATTTTTGGTTTATAACGTCAAATCCTATTAATATTTTGAGAGAACTTATAATTAAATATGTGTATTTTTTGGTATTAGCATTATCTGAATCCAATATATTATGCCATCATTTTATTTTTGAACAGATTGCCATTATGGTGCAAAATAATTGACATTTTCTCTATATTTTATGAATTCAGAATATAAAATTATTAAACTTTATCTAAAGGTCTAAAACAAATATTGCAATATTAGTTAACCCTTTTTTTATTTTTATAATCAAACTAATGCTATATCTATGCCTACTCTTTTTAACAGGTCTGTGACCTTGCTTTTGAAGCAGAAATTTTGAGTGCATATATTGTGATGGTTGGGGTCGATTTTGACGTTGATGGCGCCGTTGAATTTATTATCAAAAATGGTTATTCAAGGGTAAGCTTAATTTTCGAAGCAGTTATTATTTTGTTAGGTGGGTCTTCAGTTTCCTTCAGATTTGCTGATCTATTCTATTGATTTATGCGATCAATTCAGAAAACGTACATCTGCTTGTATAGTTATTCTCGGAGATACTCCATATAGTAATTGCTGCGTCGACGAACTTGCTGGTAAAAGATGGGATATTGAAGCTGTTATTCACTTTGGAAATGCATGTTTGACGAAACCAGTAGGAAGTGTCGATGTCTTTTACGTTTTCGGAGACGTTCGCTGCCCCTTAATTGAGAGTAATGCAGATGACATAATTGCTCATGTGAAGCAACTTATAAAAGACGTTGGTGGATCTATATTGTTCTTTTATGATTTTCGATTTCTAAAATCTGCTCGTCTCTTGCACAATCTTTTGAAGTCTAATGATATCGATGTAATATTCACTGAACCCGCATTGCCGAACTTATCTGTGATTGAAAGCTCGACTACATATCGCCACTTAGGAAGAATTTTTCATTTGAAAGACAATTTAGAGTTCCCTAAAGGTCTCCTTTATTTAGGAGAATGTGATTCAAACTTCTACAGCATTCTAGTCAGTATGAAGGATGCTTATAAAATTGCTCCTATTTTGATTGATCCCAATACCGGCAAAGTTAATTTTGCCATTGAATCTGCTTCCAAATTACTCAGAAAGCGGTATTTCCTCATGGAAAAGGCTAAATCTGCTAAACGAATCGGTATTCTGGTAAATTCTATTCAAATTATTATTATTTTTTTGTATTTAGATGGGTTCTCTTTCAATATCCAAGTATATGAATGTGGTTGATCGTATTAAACATCTCCTTTATCGCGCGAAAATTGCTTACACAACTCTCGTTGTGGGTAGACTCAATGAAGCGAAGCTGATGAATGTCCCCGACTTGGACGCCTTGGTCTTGGTTGCTTGTCCCCAAGCCAGTTTGTATAACAACCCGAATTTGCTCATCCCGGTTATCACACCGTTCGAGTTGGAGTGCATTCTCTATGAGAGATGTAAATACGCAGACGAAGGTTATGTGAATGATAACGATGAAGAATTGATTCCGAAAAAAAGACAGTGGAATGGTCTTTGGCTTCCTCTTGACTTCGCTTCACATATATTGGACACTGGTAAGTTTCGATTATTTGAGTCTTCAGCTATCTCCACTCAATTATGCTTTTCTCACAACCTTAATTCTAACTTTCTCCCAGTTTAAAATTCGTGGGATGTGTTTTGGGTTTCAGGCTAAGTCATGTTAAGCTTAAATGGTTTATTTCCCATCGCGTATATTTATTTATATCAAATGGCAGGCTTTATTATGGCTATCATTAGCCCTTTTATTGACTTCAGGCTTCACAGAGGGAGAGGAATATCAAAGCGAAAAAGTCGAGAGGGGGGGGGGGGAAACAGAAGAATGTTTAGAAGATGTAAAAGAGACAGACACAAAGGTAGAAAAAGGTAAGACGAGTACTGTAGAAGTGGTCGAATATGACATACAGTGGGGTCATGATAGCTTGAACTCAGAAGTCAACTGCCAGTTAATAGACTTTTGCCGTATGAGTATACGTTTTCCAGGGTGCACCACGTTGAGGTAAGTCTATCGCACACACCCCCCTCCCCATCACGTATATAAAATGTGCTATTTTAACTATCAAGGTTAGTGCTATTGGTCAACAACTAGAATCCGAGGTCACGAGGTCAAGCGGTACTTAAATTATACTCCATTGATTAATTTTCGTGGCCAGGGGCCTGGCTACCGAATATCCTCCCTCAACTCGAATTAAGCGATGGTGGCACCCCTTCTTGCATCATGAAGTCTATCGCAGTGGTATTGGTGCGCACGTCTGCTAAATCAAAAATGCGTAGATTTATCCTTTGTCTTAAAATCCCAAATGGTTCATTAGTTACGTTCTTTGGAGCTAATTTTTCTAGTCGGAATTCTCATTTCTCATTGGGGTGCTGCCGTATATATTTGCATTATGTTGATGCCGTCGATCTTGGAGCATGACCCAGATCTTGCTAGTGATATCAAATACATATTTTTTATTGTTTGTTCGAAAATTTTTATTTCCGTCTCAATTGCATTGCTATCGTACAAGGAATTGTTTGCCCCAAAGCTTGATCTTAAAATATCCCAAAGCACTTGTTGTCTTTCTTTAAAGTATTGTTTTAGATTTTGATTTCTCATCTGACAACTTTATTCTTTTTACGCTCAGTGTTTTCAATCCTAGTAGTCCCGTTTTACTTCTTTTAAATGAATGGAAGTAATTTACTCCATTTTTTGTTAAGTTTTAAATATGATTTGAATAAATTTATTGTGTCGTTGTTATCGGAATTAATGAGACCCTGTTTCTAACATTCAGAATCAGATACCTATGTTCGAGAAGACGATGTTGTAATCTCAAGCCAAGCAGACGAAGAGATCTCGGTAGGAGCGTCGGGTGGCACTCTGGTGTCTCGGGATGATACCAACTGGAGTTTGGCTGTGACATTCGCTGAAATGCTTGCAGATAGACGTGATTCGTGGAACGGTCTGGATCCCGCCTTAGGAATGACTGAACCATTAACTTCAATCCAACCTGGACGATCTGGTATCCCTACAGAATATTCTAATATTTGTAAATAAGATAATAAACGACTTTGTATTTATGATTGAATTATGTCATCTTTAATTGTTATATGACGGGAGGCAGGGATTAAGTTTAGGCCATACAACTCCACAAGGGAGTACTCAACAGCTCCCTTAACTTTCCTTATTGAAGGTCTGAGAAGTGGGTATTAGAATCTTTCCTTCGTTATGCAATCGTGTTAAAGGTACTGGTGATAAAATTCGTTACCTATTTCCAAAATGGACTTCTGCTCTCGGGCATTCAAGCTAGCAGATAACTAAATGTCGGTACACACTTAAAATAATTGTAAACATTGTGCTTATTATTATTATTTCATAATTTCAAATGTGTAAAAATGTTTACGCATTGAGAATGAAGAGCTTATCTTCCAGCGAAATGGTGCACCCCCACATTAATAACTCCACGTTAGGTCTTTATTTGATGAGGTCTTGTCAAAGAGGTGGTTTGGACCAAGAGATTTTGTTGAATATCCTCCCAGTTCACAAGACCTCACACCTCTAGATTTTTCCACATGGGGATACGTAAATGACAGAATCAACGCTACGAAACCTCCAACAGTCACTGAATTAAGAGAAGCCATTGAGCATGATTACGTCCAAACGCGAAGGGAATTATTTCATGATGTGTGCGATTCAACTGCCTGGCGTTGTCAGCAATGTCTGAATCAAATTGCACGCCAGTTTGAGAACGAGGAGTAAAATAAAATAATAAAATTATACTTGTGGAATATTTTACGCTCCTCCCAGAAATTAATCTAAGTGGCATCTTGTGGGCTTTAAGGAACTTTTAAGCTCCATTCCGTTTGGTGGAGATTTGCACTCATTGCGAATGTAATGAAGAGCTGTAATTTTACCTGTCTTAATATCCACCAATAAGGGGTGTGCGATAGACTTACCACCGCGTGGTGCACCCTGGGCAACGTATACTCATACGGCAAAAAGGTCAATATACTGGCAGATGACTTCTCAATTCAAAACACCATGATCCCACTCTATGTCATATTCCACCACTTCAGAGTACTCATCTTACTCCTTCCTCTTTACGTTTGTGTCTGTACCTTTTACATCTTTGAAACACTCTTCTGTTCCACCCCCATTTTGACTTTTTTTCACTTTGATGTTCCTCCTCCTCTCTGTGAAGCCTGAAGTCAACTAAAGGGCTAATGATAAACATCAAAACGTCTGTCATGTGATATAAATAAATATCCTCCGATAAGCAAATGAAAAAAATGAGGAAAAAACCTCTTGTTGGTGATTCCACTTTTCGGAATTAAATCAGGCGTAAATATTACCCATTTTGCCACAATGATCATCGACTCAAATCCTGGTTATAATCCTCACACACCTCGATATTTAACCAGTTTATATTGCTGAAATATTAATAACTGCACCGCTTGTAATCCATTCCTATGATTCCTATGCGCTCCGTTGGATATTTATATTGGTGAAAATAATGACACCAATGAAACAATTAGTGCTTTTTTCCACATAGATAAAGATAGAAAAACAAACAGTACAAAGTGATAAATTAATAAAGTAGTGAAACAAACTGCTTTGCAATTGCAATAATGTCCTCCTTTATCATCTACACCGATGTTTTCTTCTCATTACTCCATATTTTCTTTGCCTTCATTATTGGAATCACCATCTGAAATTACAAATTGCCACAATAATAATGACATTAATAAAACAAAACATGATTGACACATATTGATTTTGAAATAGTTTCGAAGTGAAACACATTTAGCAAAACAAAAGTAACTTTTCTTTGTTTAACAAAATTTAACAAACCTAATATTTCTTCGATAAGAGGCCTTTTGAACACTGATCGATTCCTTGAGGTCTCTAAAATGATTAATGATAGCCAAGTATAACTTGAAGATAATGAAAAATAGTTAGTATCAATTTACTTTCTGCTAATGGAGGTGTGCGATAGACTTACCTCCACGTGGTGCACCCTGGTCAACGTACACTCATACGCCAAGAAAGTCTATTGACTGGTAGTTGACTTCTCACTTTAAACTACCATCACCCCACTCTATGCCAAATTCGACTGCTTCTACAGTACTCACCTCACCTTTTTTCCACCTTTGTGTCTGTCTCTTTTACATCTTTAAAACACTCCTCTATTTCACCCCCATTTGGACGTTTTTCACATTGCAGTTCCTTCCCCTCTGTGAAGCCTGAAGTCAACTAAAGGGCTAATGATAACCATCATGACGCCTGCCATTTGGTATAAACTTTCCGCCAATGATTTGAGTACTTACAACCTCGAAAAAAAGGGTAAAAGAAATCTATACTCAATTGAGCATAGTATATAAAAATAAAAGAGAGGAAACTGAATATATCAAGTAGAATGCTACCTTCTGCAATATGCGTGTTTGACTTCGAATTCCTTTCTTCATAAATCTCGAAAATACTTCTAGAATTCGGTTCTTCTGCAATCTCTTCCTTTCTGTCATTGGGTCCGAGAACTTCAATGGTGGATTCATCCGAACTATCCGAATCAATCTGCAAATGCCATATATTTTAATTATGTTAAAATGCGCCAAGCTTGTAAGTGACTAAAATGAGGACGGATTTACTGTTACGGAAAATGCTAGGCCACCATTCTCTTTCTGTTTCGCTAAATTTTCTGGAATGTTTTTTGAGCAAGTGACCTCCTCAGTGTTAGCATCCCTACCATTCGATATTTGAACTTTACAATCGCCATCAGCATTTTGCAATATTCCGTTTTCCCTAACTTCTCCAACACTTGAAGCCTCGTTTGATTTTGGGGGATCATTGCTTTCTACAGCGCCTTCATCAAGATTTTCAGACTGTTTTTCATTGTACAGCCAGTCTGCCTCATCTAGGTTGATGTGAACATTTGGCATACCCTTTTCTGCCAACTCTTTTTCACGATTTGCTGCCTCAATTTTCTTCCTTCTTTCAGAAAGCCCTTTTAAATAAATAAATAAGCAAACACTTAGGGAACAATTAAATTTTCTACTGTTGTTAATGGAACGCTATTTCATTGTAACTAATGGCTTCAAACCCAGGAAAAAATTAGGAAGTTTAAATACTTTTTTCTAGTTGATATATTAAGCTGTACAAAATCATAGATTGGGGAGAGAGAGAGAGAGAATTTAAACTAAAATGTTCAATTTTTTCATACAAATGGCCATGCTTATCTGAAAAATGATACTATCTACTACATTGAAGTTAGGAGATTGGAATTTAACACCTTCAAACTTGCAGTCGGGTAATTGAATGTATCTAAAATCTAATACCGAAATATGGCTAAATGAAGCATAAGTAAATACGAAATAACTTAAAAGTAACAATAGTCGATATAAATATTAAAAATTAGGAAATGGAACGTTAATTAGCTAAAAACCGAAAAATGAGATAACTCTTTTGAATGGCGAAATAACTAAATGGCTGTATGTTGATAATTATATATATATATAATCATTGGAAGACCAGTGAAACTCTCCTCAAGAGGTTGAACATATTTAAAGAGGAGAAGGTTCTGGCTATAAACATAGAATACTACTTGTTTTGCTCGAGTAGTGTCATACTTACAGTTACAGCTATCCCTAATCCGTTTTTGTTCAGCGTCATTCAGCTCCTTCCGGACACGGTTTTCTTCGTCTGCTCCTCCCCGATAACTTAAAGCAAATTGTAATTTTTTGTTAAAATATTTACCTTTTTTGTTGTTTAAATTTTTTTAAGGAAAGTTGCTTTAGTTAAAGAAACTTACAATGCCTCAGCACAGGCTCTGTCTTTTGGAAATACCGGTCGATCGTCTAGATAAGTGAGCTCTTTCTAAATTAAAGAAAAAAAGAGAGAAATGCCGATTTAAAGAAATATTTGCTTGCTTAACTCTGTTGCTCAGATCACTTACGCATTGATTAATGAAATTCTTTCGATAGTACTTCACATCCTTAATAAATGGATTTCCTTGGTTGTAGAGCACTCGCTAATTGAACGGGAACAAAAATGTGCCTTCTCATTGGTTTATTCGTTCAACAAGGCGAAATAATAAAACAAAACGCCAAATGCTTACCAGACTTGGCATTTGTGCAAAGACCTTCTCTAAAGCTTCCGGAGTTGAGATGTGATTCTGTTGCAGATCGATAATAGTCAACGATTTGCATTCACGCAGATGTTCGATATCTTCCAGAGCCTCAAGTTTATTGTGAGATATTATCAACTTCGTTAAGACAGGAAGCGTGGCTTTAAGAGGAGTAAGCATGCGAATTAGGCTCGTGCCTCAAATAAAAACAAAACAATTTCGGGGTGTGCGATAGACTTACCTCCATGTGGTGCACCCTGGGCAATGTATACTCAAAAAGGTCAATAAACTGACAGTTGGCTTCTGACTTCAAACCAACATGACCCGACTGTATGCCATATTCCACCACTTCCACAGTAATCACCTCACCTTACCTATTCTCTGCCTTTGCGTCTGTCTGCCTCTTTTAAATCTATGAATTACTCTTCTATTCCCCCTCTCAAATTTTTTTCACTTCGATGTTCCTCCACCCCTCTGTGAAGCCCGAAGTCAACTAAAGGGTTAATGATAGCTATCATAAGGCCTTCCATTTGATATAAATCAATGATGTAGTTCTTACTCATTTAAAAGAAAGTATTTCACGTGTAACCCGTTTAAGTAGTTTAGATAATGTTATTAGATAATCGTAATTAGGCCTGACTATTAATTGGAATTCTACATTTTTTCTGACAAAGGGGGAGTACGATATTGTGAAAATTAGTTTGCTGTTTCTACTTCATTAATGAAATTGGTTGTCACGCAATAAACGAAACAACCACACGAGAAAAGAAATCATACCCAGGTTTTCAATTTTTGATATCATGTTGTGGCTTATATCCAAGGTGTCCAAGTGGATCATATGATCGAGGTTTTCTATACGCTTGATGAGATTCTTCGACAGAAAAAGACAACGCATTTCCGTCTGATATTCCAATCCCTCAATTTTGTCAATTCCATTGACATCGAGGAACAGACATCTCAGTCCTGTGTAGTCTTCCAAATTCTCTATCCATCCAAATCCTAAGTGAAAGAAAGTCATTAATTTGACGCATAAATTCTATTAAGTGACATTTATTAGCAATTTAACCTCGGTAGTGAAGGTAGAGAATTTCGTTAAGATATGGAGTCTGGTAGAGCTTTTGTTCTTTGCAGACTTTTTGAAGGATCTGTTTTGTCATTCTAAGAAAAAACAGTCAACTTATGTTAAGTGTAAGGCCCGGAATTCGCTTTTGCATATTTTAATAACGCAAATACCTCGGAAATTTATTTCTTCTTGTGTCTTCTTCTGGCGTTAGAATTCGTTTTGGTGGATTCGGTTTGCGCTTCTCTCGAATCTCCTCAAGAATGTCTTGAGGTATTTCAAATTCTGAAGTTACATTATCATTTTCCTTTGACTTATTGGAAGTCTTATCTAAATCAATTTGATCCTCGAAGGTGGAAGAATCCATGTCAATTGATAGGAATTCCTCCTGTGACTCGACTGTAATATCTACTGCGGTACATATACTTGTATCCGCTGAATTGGCTTCCACAGAATCAGTTAAAGAATCCACTTCCCGTAATGCGTTTGATTTCACCGTAGACTTGATTTGCTCAGAAACTTCTTTAACATCCGATAAATTCACACTGTTAGCCCCACTTTCACAGCCATTTGCCATAGTTTGTTCCTCCTGAACACTTTCTGGTTCCAGCATCAATTTTTCTCGACTACTACTTAAGATATCATAACCACCAAAGACGGATGAAGAATCAATTTCAATCGATTCAAATTCCTCATACGATTTATTCAAGACGCATTTTGAGGTATCTAAGTTAAAGTCATTCGAATCGATTGGCGACAATTCCTCTTCTTTTTCCTCCAAAGTACCAAATTCGACTTCTGTAAAGTTGTGGGAGATAAAGCAATTAACCCTTTGTTCAATAACCATTTTATCACGAGAATCAGGTAAAGTATCCACGAGAGATTTCGCACCTTCTCCAAAAGTTTCCATATCCGCCTTACAGTCAAGTCGGTCATTCGAGTGACTTATACCTGCTTTTTCCGAAACTAGAGGTAAATTTGTGATAGTATCACAGGCTGATTTTAAATGATCACCATCAACATTTACTGGGCAACAGTCAGATTGTCTTTTGTTGGATTTTATTTCAAAGCCGTGGTCTTTAGACGAGCTTTGACCTTCCTTTAGACCCTCATAACATCCCTTTAACGGTTTGTTGAGTTTTGTTGAAGTGTAGCATTTAGGACTCTCTGCATTAGGCGCGCTTGTTAAATGTACCGAAGCAAACTTTATTTCCCCATCATTTGATTGAATTTTAATAGATTTTATCGCATTATCCAGAAATGGCAGTTGATTGCAAAGCAATATTGGGGCTTCGTTTGGAAGAGAATATGTTTCATTCAGACCTGTAACTGACGAGTCGAGATTATCTAAACCGTTCGGATCAGATTCGGAGAACTGTTCCTGTGAAGTTTTATGAGTATCAAGACATGACATCTCAAAAGCATCATAAAATATATCATCATTGCAAGACTCATACGTCATATTTTCGGTATCTATGCTCATTTCTACAATCGAACAAAAGGTCATTAACTTATGCTAAAATTGCAACCGCTGAACTGAACCTTTTATTAAGCAAATATGAGCAAAGAAAGGTGTTAAAATGTTAATTTTTGACGGTCACTACAAAAAATATAGTAATGGAATATATTTTAACTGGGGTGATTTCGTTAATCATCGTCTTGGAATAATTTTTAATCAAAGAATGATTTCTGTGTAAAATGTTATTTTGTAAAAGGTGGTCACTAACGTAAACAACCCCCACAGATGTGGAAGGGATATTGTGTAAGAATGATAAATATACGCCAAGGTCACTTGTAATGATTTTACTTATTAATACTTTAACTAGAAAATATAGTGATTAGGTATTTTAATATTTCAAAAGTTAAATAGCTATCAATATTATCTTTACCATGAAAATAACATTTATGACTATTCTATTTATCTTCCCTTTAGTCTGAAGGTGTATTCTAACAAAATGCTTTAATACCAATGAATTTTGCACTCACTGGGGTAAAAGTGAGCTAGGTACCCACAAATAATCATTATTGCAATCATAATCTGTTTGAAGCTCTTGGCCTTAGATTAATTTCGGCTTAGGGACAAGACAATTTTTGTAATGGCTAATATTGAGCATTATTGCTAACATTCATATTCAAATGCATATATACGCATGTTCTATTATCCGCCATAGCCCTGTGCAATTTTCTCTAATAATGTTATTACATGATTTTCCTTCCCAAAGACTTGATCAGAATAACAATGTGTTAATGCCCAAAATACAATTCACTCAATATGAAAAGTTGGTCTCGTATGTCAATCATCCTTTGCCAATTAGCGTATATCTCAAGCAAACCTTCTGCTTGGTTATAGATATTTCACATGATTCTTCTGCGCTTCAGACTCAACATCAGTGGGGAACATGATTCTACAAGATACCCTATTAGAATAATTCATTCTAAACCATTAAATAAATTTCTACTATTCACCCCATAACAAACACAGTGACTCCCACTATTTCTAACGACTTGTAAATTTCCGTGACCCACCAAGACAAAGATAAAGTCCATATATATACATATAGCAGAGCTGATACACAGAGTTGATTTACAACATTAGCAGCAAAATACAAACGTGATGGACGCACATAAGTTTATATAGAACTTCAACAGTTAGTAGGGGGGACGTGCACCACCAGGGGGTGGTGGGGGCGGTGCCATGCCAGCCGGTGGGGCTCCGGGTCTCCCATAAGCAGCTGCGGCGCCAGCGGTAGAAGCAGTGGGGGGTGGTGGCGGTATACCCGTACGAGGTTGCATAAGTGCCGGGTTGGGCACACCGACACCGGCCCATGCTGTGGGTCCAGCTGCAAGTCCCGAAGGTGGTGGTGGAGGCACAGCCGGTGCTGAAGGTGTCACAAGGGGCATACTGCGACCAACGGGTCGGCCCATGCCTGGTGGGGGAACACCCATCATGGCTGCTGCAGAAAGACCCATTCCGGAGCCTGGTAAGGGGACTCGAGCTGAATCTTCTGGAGGTGGAGGTCCATCTACGTTCATGCTCACCTTTACGAAAGAATAAAAGCATAGCAATGGTATAATTAAAGCGGGACTTCAGCAATTTAAAGTAAATGTACTCAGGTATGTGGTTCAAAAAGAAAATAAAAGTTCAACTTTAACGAGGGCATTACATAAACTACAAAATCAAGAAATAAGGCACTTCAAAGTGATTTACTAAGGCAAACAAAGACGACATAGGCAAAGAAAATTTTAAATTACCGAAAAAGACCTATATGCACATTTAGCAAATGTGTTTTATGAGTGCCAGATATAAAGTAATTTAAAAACATTAATAGGAGGGACAACAGGATTAAGAATAAAAAATAAACAGTAAGAGTTACAAAATTACTCACGATATGTTCACCACGCAAAAGAACCAAACCAAGGGAGCGCTTTTCTTGGCGAGGCTGTTTGGTGTTCTTATTTTTCACAATTCTGAACTCATCGCAATCACACAAAATGAGATTCATGTGACGGTCGAAAGCTTTAAATGTACCAACAAGCTGTCTGTTATCTTGGAGAGTACAGCGAATGCGGTAATTAAGGTGTGTACTAATCTTCGCGTTTTTACTAACAGGCTAAAAGAAAAATTATCAAAAGACACAACCTACCATTACGAACGGCTATAAAGAGACCTCGCGATATAAGGCTATTCAAACGAAAGGTCAATAGTAATTTGATCGGCCTATGAGTAAGGACTTCTTAGCAGTATATATTTTAGATACCTAACGAGGTATAAACATATTTAATGAAACAAAATTTAATTAAATGCATGATTATGAAGTTAAATTTGCTACTAAGAAGATAAGATTATAATAGTTAAATTCAAAACCCACCAATGAGAAATGAATGTCGTTAAAATGTTTCGTGCAGATAACGACAAGTTTTGACGAAAATGCAATATTTGCGCTTGCAATTTTAATTTGTGCAAACACTTGTTTCACATTTATTCTTCGTTTACAACAATTGGCAACAATATTTCATAAATTTATGGTTTTACGACTGGGTTAATATCTGCATTTATTTGGGAGTCTTGATCTTTTATAGTTTCTATTGAAATTATATCGAAGATGTTTTGCATAAAATGACCGTGTCTGCTTAATATGAAGGATTAAGTTATCCTTTTCTTTATAACTTTAAATATGTT